AAAAAAAAGTTTTTTTTTTCCTTTTAAATGAAGTAACACACTGAATCATTTGGATCATTTGTCTAGATCATGTATGGAAGAGGCAGGAGGACCAATTGCTGCTCAAGTGAAAGAGGCAGCGATAGCAATAATTTAGATTGTCAACATGAGGAAGAGGAGGTGGGAGAACCATGTGTGGGGGTCACCAAATCTAAAAGAACAGCATCTCAAATCGCACAATGGACTTTATTTTCTCTCCTTGTTGTCACAACAGTCACAGACTCAGCATCAGTTCCTGTTGGGAGACTTCATTGGGAGACATTTCTGAAGGTTTTCAAAATGGATTTAAAATACACGAGCTTTTTAAATTATGCAGTCCTTCTCCAGTAACTTCAAAGGTGAATTCAGTATCAGCATTCACAGTGCCTGAGGAAGATTAAGATGCTAAAAGCTCAGACAGACATTGCTTTCACCCTGGCAGCGCACATGTATGTGTGTGTGTGTGTGTGTGTGTGTGTGTGTGTGTGTGTGTGTAAGTTTTAGATGCAAGTGGTTTGTAAATACAGGTGACTTTGTCCTGGAAAATGCCTCTCAAATACACTGCTCCATGGGGAGCCACAGACTCTTCTAGTTCACAAATCCCTGCTTTCTCAGTTAACCACCCTGAATACCAAAAGATGAAGATGATCTCATTGTGGTTTCTGATAGGCAGAGGAAATAATAGGAACACTATCTAATCCAAGTCTGGATTATTACTCTGTAGCCAAAATGACTCTGAGCAACTGATACTCCTGTCACTTTCCTGCTTGTCAAGATAACAGATGCAACCATCACAGTCTGTTTATGCAGTGATGGTGACCAGCATCATGAACACTAGGCAGACACCCTACAAACTGAGCTACATCACCAGTACCAAGGTCTCTGTTGGGAAATTTGACTTCTGTGGGGATATTTATGGTCGAAAGTAATGGACCTGTGTTGTGCTGTTGAGGGCAGAATGAGAAAAGTGATCGTGGCCCTTAGATCATGACCCTGAAGATTGTGAGTGAAACCCAGACCCTTAGACATTGAGTTACTTACACTGTTGAAGTTGGCTTTTGATTTGTTTTTATTGAGACTGTATTTTGGTTCTGCACTCTTGAAGAAAGTATTTAACTTAATTTTAATTCTTACAGGAGGCCACAGCTGAAAGAATTTGAAGTTTTAAAAGAAAGCTTTGATTTCTGCAGATATTAGATATTGCTAAGAAACTGAATATTTAATGTGTTTGAATTTCCAAGGGCTGTGGGCCCTTTACTTATGATTTATACTATGATATTTATATTAATATGCCATCTCTGGAGATAGGTGAGAAAGAAAAGTTTATAGTTGAAAAGTGATGTTTGCGTGTCAAATTGACAAAAGGGCCAGCTGTACTGGCTATTTTTATGTCATCTTCATACAAGCTAGGGCCATCTGAGAGGAGAGAACCTCACTTGAGAAAATTCCTCCCTAAGATCCAACTATAAGGCATTTGGTCACACTCTTGGGCTGGTGGTTCTGGCTTCAATAAAAAAGCAGTCAGAACAAGCCATGGGGAGCAAGCACCTCTCCATGACCTCTGTTCTGCATCAGCTCCTGCCTTCAAGATCCTGCCCTGTTTGAATTCCTGTCCTTCCCTCCATCCTGCAGTGAGGACTATTACCTGGAGGTGTGAGCTGAAATAAACCCTTGCTTTTGGTGTTCCATCACAGCAACAAAAACGCTGACTAAGACAGTGCCCTACATGGAAATGATAAAGAAGCATCTTAAAGAAAATTCTATCAACTAAAGAGTGGGAAAGCTTGGGTTCACACTTCTGCACACTGGCTAAGTCACTTGCCAGGTCCTAGACAGTGATGTGATCAGAGATAACAGCTCCATGCACTGTGGTGAGCCTGCTTCAAGCCAGTCAAGGCAGACAAATAAATCAACAATTACATTATTGATTAGAGTCCTTTGGTAGGGCTAACAGTCCCAGCATGGCTTCAGAACACACTCACATAAGGAGTACATTTGGGGGTTCAGGGAGATGCAGCAGGCTTTCGGGTGATAGAGAAACCCCACAGGCAATCAACATTCAAGGAAAATGGAGGGCCACCAAAGGTAAGTGTCAGGGAGTGTGGTAACATGCCATAGAGTGGTGCCTCTCAGATTTTCACAGGCCTGAGAAGTACTTGTGAGTTCTAAAGCCTGGATTGCTAGGAGTTACACATCAGGCTCACATGCAGAGGTCTGGGGGAATAGAAAGCTAGAGTGTATATTTCTGATGAATGCCCAGGAGGTGACAATGCTGCTGGTCCCGGAACTATTTTCAGTTATATTTCCTAAGACTTAGGTTAGGGATGTGTATGGAAGTATAGTCTCTCTCCTTTTCTCTGACTCTCCCTACATGTGTGTATCATTTGTGTGTGTGTGTGTGTGTGTGTGTGTGTGTGTGTGTGTGTGTGTGTGTTGAATTGCTATGCATGTCATATGTTGTATGTGGTGTGTGTGATGTGTGAGTGTGTGTGTTATGTGTTGTGTGTATGTGTGTCGATTGTTGGCAAGAGAATCTAGAAAGAATCATATTACATAGAGGGAAAAGATGAGCATGAATTTGGAAATAAATTTTTGATCTAATTGGTGACATCTAGGTCCTTGGGGCAGCAGAGTCCCAAGAAAGAATTAGGGTTACATATTAACAATATTGGCGGAATGGGGATAGAATTTGTATTTTGCGGTAGGTTATGAACAGAGTTGAAGGTGGGGAGAACAGAGAAGGTGATGGGAGATGTCATTCTGTATATGTTTCTCATACTGGTTAATGAATAAAGCACTGTTGGCCAATAGGAAAGGAAGATAGGAGGGACTAGGAGACAAGGAGGAAATAGGAAGTAGGGAGGAGGAGTCAGGATGGAGAACCTGGAGAGAACAGAACTGCCATTCCTCCACTCTCAGTAAGACCACGTGGAAATACATAGAAATGGGTTAATAATTAAGACAGAGCTAGATGATAAGAAACTAGCACCTGGCCAATAGCATTGTATCAAATACAGAGTCTCTGTGCATTATTTGGGGCTGGCGCGGTGGCAGGACAAGACCAGCGGTGGGAGGAAAAACCGTACTTCTTACAAGAAGGTCTAGGTAAGAGGCTTTGGCTGTTTTTGTACAAGAAAAGTTTTAACATGAATATTGTTAGTGGAGGAGATAAATGGAAAGGTACAAGGCTATGAGGCAGAATGCATAGGATTTAGTGACTGATTTCAGGGAGAAGAAACACTGACCAGAGAAAGGAGGGAAGATCCAGTTATTAGGGAAGCCTTTCTCATGGTGCTGATGTTGGATGTGGGAAATAGTGTGGACACACTGAGCTAGGGTCCCTGGCAGACTCTTAGAGATGCTCTCAGGAAGGAGGGAGATGCAAGCTTTGGAACATATTATGAGATGGGCATAAAACTGGGGGCATGCTTATCAGCATACAAACAGCAGCTAAAAGTACAAGAATAGAGGGATGACCACTGGAGCATGAGCAAGGGGTCAGAAGAAAGGAAGGGATGTGGGTTTCTTGGCTTCCAAAATTGATACTATCAAGCTCCTTGTACTGTAAACAGTCAGAACTCACGTGTCTCAGGTATCAGACAAGCAAAACTGACTAAATACAGTGCTTTCCCATGGGAATCTTGTCTGGGTATAACATAGGCAAGATGAGGTCCTGCTTCTTGTCCACTACAATCTGGCTAAGTCAGGAGAATGTCTAGTCATGGAAATGTGTGGTTCTCTAGTGGGGGCTTCCTTTAGCCATCTAAGAGTAGGAAGTCTCTGCCCCACAGTCATCAGATTTGCCCTGCCTAGCTAGGAACACAGTTTATTCCTAAGGGGAGTGTTGGGTGATGTGAGATGAGGATGTTCTGCTTTCCATTTAGGCACACCAGTGTGTTTGGTATTTGTTATGTGCAATTATTGTTTTAAGGTCCTACCTGCAGGGAATAAGAATTTCTCTAATTCAGGTGTAATATGACACCTTAGAATCAAGAAACTCTGGGGAGAGTCATAATGCGGCAAAACCAAAGCTTGCTGTAACTGATGCAGTTTATACATTAGTTAATGTTGCATACATGAATTCTAAAAATTCCTATCCTACCTGCTTCTCTAGTATTTAGACGTGACATAGGCTTTTATGTTTTTGTTTTTGGAAAAAAAAATTCTAGATCTCCACAGCATCTTCCCTTAAACAACCTTGCACACCAGGAGCCCTGCAGCCAGGAACCTTCAATGTGCATCCCACTTTGGGGAGCTCAGAGCAGGCGTTCGCTGCTGCCCCCGTGTGGACAATAATGGGAAAGCTTTAAACACGAGAGTCTATTTTGAACTATCTTTGTAGCTGGCAGGGACACCACCATTCACAAACTGGTTGTGGCTAAATTTTTCAACTACTGTGCTAATCCCCTGCTTCAAATTAGTACACATTCTCTATTGTAGTGATACCTTGTGCCTTCAAAGAAGCAACAGGTAGGGTAAATTAAATACATCTTTAATGGTCCCTGGCTCCCTTTCTTCCTCCCTCCCTCCTTCCCTTCCTTCTTTCATTTTTCTTTGTTTCTCTGTGTAGTCATGGCTACCCTGGAACTCACTCTGTAGACTAGGCTGGCCTCTCATGCAGAGATCTGCCTGCCTCTGCCCCCCTAGTGCTGGAATTAAAGATATGGGCCATCACGGCCTGGAAACTATCTGCTTTTCTAACAATTTGTGTTTCCATGTCAGACAGAGATTGAAAAAGCTTCTGGAAAGTCTGGAGTGATGAATGCATTTCTCACCCAAAGTTTCACCTTGGCCTAGCAGTGGTCCATGCTTTTTAGACAGAGTTGAGCAAGGAGAGAATTAGGGAATGTTTGGCTGCAAGTGCTAGCCCTTACTCAAGTGCCCACCTGGAAACCTAAACTTATGACAACAGCTCCCTGTCTACCCTTGGATGCCATAAAGAGAATCCAGGGGAGGAGGAAGGAGGGGAGCCATGTCCTTACCATTGTCGTTACCTTGCTTGATTTCCTCTGCTGTCCGATCGATCAGCACATACAGAGACCACACCACACAGGTGACAGCGATGACGTGGAATGTGACAGAGCAGAAAATCTTCCTTCTTTCACTTGTGGTCATCTGGAGTTTCTCCCACTGCAAACAGAAAAGAGTCACTCACTACCTTGTTTATAAACAGAACATCTCAGTTAATGTTCCATACAGGAATCTGCAGTGCAAAGTAAACACCATACTTCCATATTCAAGAAAGCCTCTGCATTCAGAGAGATATGAAACCATTATTGACAAAGGAAATAGAACTTAATTTGTACAAAATGGCTTCTTAGTGTCCAAATGAATGAAGCCAGTCTGCATCTCTTCCTGCAATAGGAATGAGGTAGGTTCACAATACTGTGTAATGTGGTGATGGTTGATTCAGTTGGTAAAAGTGTGTCATGGTAGTGTGTGACTGCGATTCCAGCTCTGGGAAGGTGAAATCAGAAGGATTGGGGCCCACTGTCCAGGCAGACTACTGGGACTGAAGAGTTCCATGTCCAGTGTGAAACCCTGTCACAAAACAAAAGAGCAACACAGTGGGGAGTGGTGGCTCAAAATATGGAGTTGTTGCTGGACTTCCAGACAAGCACACATGTGTGCATATATGTTGCAGTCACATGAGCACACACACACACACACACACAATATTATGATTTAGAAACCATTTTCTTTCAGCTTGAGCCCATTTTGGTACCAGGTTACAGGGAGTGACTGACATCTCTCGCTCCATGGATTCTCATATAGCTAGGTAAGGGTCACAGGCTTGATAGGACAGTTGAAGAAGATTTTAGTGGTGAATTGAGAGCTGTAAGGGGAAGTTAATGCTTTCTGTTTACAGCTATACTAAAGAGATAACTTTTGCCATCAGAGAACAGAAGGAGACTCTGCTGAGCATCTCTCAGAGTGCTCTTGACTTTCAGCTGCATGGAAGCTACAAATGTCCCTAGTCTTACTTCTCAGAAAGCTGATGGCTGCCTCCCCTCCCCCACACAGTCAGCAAAAGAAGAAAGGTCACAAGCTCTTAGACATGAAGTATATATGAGGACTTGTTTATCATACTTTAAAAGCAGTTGTTCTCAACTTCTAAAGTTCTTGCACCTTTTCATGCTGGGAATATTTATTTTTGCCTCTTATGAGCCAGCCTGCAAAGCTTTTTAATGTATCTTGATTCTCTATATTCGTATGTCTTTGCTTAAGCAAAACCTGGAATTTCTGAAGATCTCTCTCCTTCCCTGTCCTCGCAGCATGTAGGATTCAGTGTAACATGGCACATGGTCCAGGATCTGCCACTAGCTGTAGGTCTGGCTGACTTTGTTTACTTTGTTTTGATTCTGCTTGTCTCAAACTCAGGAGAACAGTAGTAGTAGCCTGCAGGGCAGGGATCCAGGCTGAAGGCAAGAATGGGGGGCACAGAGATTCAGGCTGTGGACAGTGATCCATGCTGGGGGGCAAAGATTCATGCTCTCAGCAGGGATCCAGGCTGGGGACAGGGGTCCAGGCTGGGGGTAGAGATCCAGGATGGGTGGACAGGGGCCATTCTTCACTTGGACTTCCTATTAGCAGGCTAGTTCTAGCAGGTCTGATCTCTCATGAAGTCTGCATTTCCAACCTTCTGGGTCAAGGTAGATGTAACTTTTGCCAGCATTGCCAGGCTAGCTACCTGGACATCAAGATTTTGCCTCATGGATTCAGGAATTGTCTTTTTTGATCCTTGTATTAGTTATTTTCTCTTTGCTGTCTGGTTGTCAAGATCATCACGAACAGAAAGAATATCCACAATTATCTGCAACCTTGGGGAAGCAAAGGAATCAGGCAAGTTATCAGCAGCTAGCCTTGTAGCTAGCTTTGTACTGTTCCAGCCAAGTAAGAGAAAGCTACATCTCCCAAAACCATCATTTCCCAGGTCACTAGGTAATTCCAAGCTCCCTTCCAGTTTGAGGGCAAAGGTCTTGGAATTCAGGAAAGCACAATAAAAACTGGGTGCTCCTGAGAGCTTTCCAGATGTGTTAGAGAAGAACTCTTATTTACAAACACTGTCCCTCCTATCTGACTGGCCAGCCGCCATGGAACTTTCCTATACAGGCTTTATGAGAGCTAAGAAACAGCTCACTCTTCTCCTGTATGATTGGCTTGTTTTATGAATTTTTCTTATGTGTTAGTCAAGCATAACAAAGGATGGGGGTGTATTATTAACATGGCTGCCCAGAAGCAGACTGGTCCTGCATCACAGAACTCTTGGGAATTGATCAGTGTGGAATGCACACTACAGACATCATGGGAATTGATCAATATGGAATTGAGAATATCTGAGCAATGGATTTTAGCAAAACTATCATTTCTGAGAAAGATTGATTTTAAGATCTTATTCTGGCTTTGATATTTCTGTGAAGTTAAATGGAATGATGTATAAATCAAAGAATATTACCATCTGCCAAATCACAAATTTTGTGGGTTGATAAATATTTCTCAAATCACCCTTGTATCAAATAATTGAAAGATTATGCAAAGAAATAGTGTATTCTAGTGCAGATTGACTTTAGGAAATGTGTGCACACACAGAGAGACACACAGAGTCCACCCACAATCAGAAAATTAGGTTTTTAAAAAATCTTAGGGATTGGGGCTTCTGAGGCTGAAGAGTTGGCTCAGTGGTAAAGAGTGCTTGCTGGCCATGCCAAGGGCTAGCAGTTCTGGGCACCTACATTGAGTTGTTCACACCTGTGACTTTAGCTCAAGGGAAGCCAGAGCTCAAGGAAGCTCTGGTTTCCCAGGGTAGGAAGGTACATAAGTACACGTAGATACAGATGAGTAAATTTCTTTCAAAAATCAGGACTTATATCTAACAAAATTTTTGTGAAATGAAATACGTTGTCTAATATCAAGGGGTCTAAAAACATACCCATAGTGGATAGGATAGGGACAAATCATTTGTAAAGTTTCCAATGCCAGACAATAGGGGATGAGAGGCCGTAGCTTGTTAGTGAAATTAGAAGTGACATTTTAAGAGGGTCATCAATCTTTTCCACTTTACAAATCCTCATGGGACCATTCAGAAAGACACCACAGTGTAGCTGCAGGGCCACAGTGCCCTCTGCCATATGAAGACATAATTGCATGTGATACTCTCCACAGCGCCTCTCAGAAATCAAGGCAGAATTTTTCGAGTCTGTGCAGGTCGGTGTATAAACTTTTCAACAAAGTTTGCAAGTGTTCATAATGGCAAACAGGTGAAGAGGGTGAGACATGTTCTGTAATTTAATATTTGCAATGTTGAAATTGGGTTAGTAGCAAGCTTGGTTTGTAAGGACTGGGTGAAAATAAAGTGAAACACAGAAAATTCACATTGCATTTGTCTCTCTCATCCAGCGCCTTAAAGCAATGTGTGGCTTGTGCTCACATCCCCAGATGTGCCTGGTGACATTTGGGGCATCTCCTGCAGAGGCTTGACCAGTTTTCATAACTTTCCCTATCACCTGCCAGGTCATCTGCCAGGCCTACATGCCACCCAGCTCCACTGGTAGGATTCTTATATGGGTTATCACCATGTAGCCCAGGCTAACCTTGAATTCACAATCCTCCTGCCTCGGTCTTTGGAATGCTGGTCTTATAAGAAGCTGCCATCATAATGCCTGGTTCTTTCCCACATTTTTTTTTTTAATTCTCTCACTTTCTCCATACCATGAAACACAACTAAGACTGGCCAAACAAATGTCACAAAGTGTTAGCACCCCTCCACAGCTGGCCTTGGGTGTTTCTTTCAGACTTTGCATCCCTGGTGTTTGGTTCTTTCTGTTTCCATCATCCTTAGCCTTTACTCTCTTGCTGAGACCCTCATACATCAAAGCATTGAACAGAATTATACTATTCCTCCCTCCCTCTCCCCCTTCTTTCTTCTTTTCTTCCTTTCTCCCTCTCTTTTTCTCTCTCCTTCTTTTTCTTCCTTCCTTACTCTCTTCCTTCCTTCCTTTTTTTCTCTCCCAGTTCCCCTATGTATCTCCAAGATTTCTAACATAATGCAGAATTTTTAGGGAATGTGTACTCTGATAGTTCAAATGGTGCTCCTAGAGACACCAGTCCCATTGGTCCTTTGTAGTATGGTGTTTTTTGTACAGTCAGGACCAGGAGTTTCCAGCTGTCTCTTTAGATTATTGCTGTAATTTCATTTACAAAGCTGCATTTTAAATGCTTAAAAATTTCTGAGTTCTCTTGTATTATTACTGTGGGGTTTGTTACATGCATCAGGTCTAAAACACTTTGTATTCTGAAGACATCTTAGCACAATACATTATGTGAGAGTCTATGCACACCTTTCAGAGGTTCTGTGGCATGACACATTAGAGAAGTTCCTCAAGGTTCCATTTTAGAGCAGTAATTCTGAAGAGTGCTCCCCAGTACCAGTCAGGCAGCTGAGGAGCTGGTTAGTAATCCAGTGTTTGGGGCCCCACCTCACACTTAACCAAATTGGAAATTTTGACAGCAGGGCTCCTGTAACCTGATTTTTTTTCCAGTTATTTATTTAGTGACTCAGTGAGTGTACACACATGCCACAGGATGGCCGTGGAGGTCACAGGACAGTTCTATCTTTAGATCGTGTGGGTTCTCAGAATTAAATGTAGGTGCCCAGGCTTGGCAACAAGAGCCGCTACCCACTCACCCATCCTGCATGCCTGTGATCTTGGTATTAGCAAGCCGTTTGGTTATTGTGACACAGCTGGAAATTGGAGCTCTTCCTGCCTAATGAGGGTCTTTTGTAGACAAGTAGAGTGACCTTGCTAGAGTGTAGAAACAGCACTTGTCACTCCCTATCACACACTAGTTACTACTTAAGGGAAGATGACTGCATCATCAGGAGCCAACTGTTTATAATGCAAATATGTTATTCTGAATAAAAGGAAATTATATAACCAGTGAATTTGTTTAGAATAAAATGGGTGTCAGTCCATTACTTACCGAAACAAGCAGTTTCGTTGTGATTTTAGTTTTACTTTCCAAATTAACATCAGAGTGACAGGAAAAGTTATTAAAATAGAATTGTGTTAGTTAACAGTTTCAAGTACTGTGGAAGGGAGCCAAATCACAGTGTCTGAATATTTTTAAGG